GAATCATCCATTGTTCTAAACTCAGATGACTTAACCTGTGACAACTTCCAGGCTGTTGCTTATACGTATTAGGAACATATTAAGGACATTGTGAAGCATAGAAAAGAAAAAAATAATTGAACTCCAGTTCTGAAGATTAAAATATAAGGCTGTGTCTTGGATAATTCAAATATCAGCAAAGAAGGAGCAGAATTGTGTTCTTGATTGGATTTCAATATAAAGTTATAAATCATATTTGCAAAATAAATTAATATTAATTTATAAACTAAACATGGTTATGTAGAAACTGGTCTAACTTGGTAATATGAGTTCGGGGTCATAGAAAACACATTGGCTCTGTCGTCATATGGATCTGCATTTGAAGCCCTTCTCTATCATTTTCTAGCATTTTGAATGAGAGAAAATGACCTAAACTTTTGGGCCTCTGGCCTATTAAGGATAATAATACCTGTGTCATATGGTTGCTGTGAAGATTAATTATAAATATAGAGTTCCCAGCACTGTATCAGACACACAGTAGGGGATTAGTAAATGTGGATTCATTTGTACTTCTTTTGTGTGTTTTGCTTTTATTTTCCAAGAGTAGGAAACAGTTGGTGGACTGAGTTCATCAAGATCATTAATATTGTTGATAAGCTGAATTCACAGCTAGACAGTTCCAGTGACAAACAACTAATGATAAATGGGCTGTGAATTGTGTGAGGATTTACAATCCCATCAACAAAAACAAAAGCACAAGGAGAAATATGTTGGAATATGATTTCAGTGGGAAGAGAGGCATTCTTGATTTACCCCAGTGTTGTCTAGATTCAGATCCAGAGATTCCGTCAAATCCCATGGTATGTTTGTAGGGATAAAGAGTTCTTTGGGGGAAAAAAAAAATTTATAACAGTATTTTTAATTACTTTTCTATTTAATATTTATAGCAATAAATATTTTCTTTTGTAACAATCATTTTCATTGAACTTTTTTCATCTAAAAGTCAATGCTTCGAATCTGAAAACGTATACATGGTTACCATTATATATATTATTTTCCTTCAGGTATTTTTGGAACATTGGTTTGTACAATTCTGATTTTTCAGAAAGGACAGCATAATGAGAATGTAGTAGTACTGGCATTAATAAAACATAGATTTAGACTTGACTTCTGTTATAAAACCACAGTGTTCTACTCTTGTAAAATTAAACTGGACAAATGGGTTATATAAAATAAAAATCCATAGCTCATGCTAAGGACATTGTGAAAAAATACATTTATTTGAAAAGCATTAAAATATTAAAAGCAAGTATTTTGCTAGTATACTGTATATTTACTAGTATACTGA